GAGCGTGCGATAAAAACTACCCGCAAACAATGTGTTAAGCTGTTGGGAAAAAACAGTTGTTTATTTCAGGTCATGGGACATGAAGTAAACAAACCCACAAAGAAAAAGTAAACCAAAACTAAAAACAAAAAGAAAAACCAAACCCACAACCCAAATTACTTGCTCAAATATAGAAATATCAAAGAAAGAATGAGCAAATAATAGATTCTGTTGTAATGTAAAAAACAGCAAAATTTACAGTATTTCCTATATGGCAAATACTATATCACTACTACTTTATTTTAAAAAATTAAACCTGGACCTAATAAATGTTATCCAGTATTATCATCTCATTTACCATTCATATAACCTTCTGGTTTTATACTACTTTATTTTAAAGGAAAAAATTCTTGACCCGCACCTTTTTAAGAAAAAGATGGCATGTTCAAGCAATCCAAATTCAACTGTCCTAAAGTACTCTGAAAAGGAAGTACCCATGCTTTTAAGAAGCTTCCAAATTGAGTCATGAAGAAATATTTTTAGAATGTCACTGGAAGCCAAGTGCAGAAAATTCGTGCAAAGGCTTCATTTATTAAACTGACTGCCCTACACTATGTGCCAGACTGTATACCAGATTAGAAGAATACAAAGGTAAGTATCAGAGCAGTAACAATCAGTATCATTTGAAGAGTTCCAAAGCGAGATAAGGTGCTTGATATACATGACTTTCAAAATGTATAATAGCTGAAGAACCTAAAACTTACTATAAAATTTGCCATGGCCACTTTATGTGAATGTGTATTTTCCTATCAGGATTATTAATAGCTTCTAGGATGCAGATAAATGAAGACAGATTTAAAACCTTATCTGACTGACATGGCATACTCTGATCTGAGTTTGTTTGGTCAGGCCTACAACTAGTGTGTTGCAGGAATTTTTGTTTCTTTTTATGTACTTGACGTCTCTAATTCAACATTTCATTTCATGTGGTTGAGATCTAGGGATAAGAAGATAAATGAGAGTGTCCCTGCGACAGACAAGCCTCCAGCTGACCACCTGACATACAAACAAATCAAAACAGTGTGGGAAGTAGGAACTATACATCGTGTGATAAATGCAACAGCACAATGGACCAAGGGATCAGAACAAAGAACACCAGGAAAGGTAGGTAACTAGTGCATATTTCATAGAAAGGTGGGTATCATACACTTCCATCACTCTATCAACATAGCTAACAGGTAGATGCTTGAATACAAAATGCCTGCATCTTTATATAGCTGAATTGACACTGTTCCTTCTATTAACCTTCTGTCTTCTGCTGTTTTGACAATAAAATCATTTCTTAAATAAATATCAACCATAAAATTTGTTTAAAATATTTTTATCTTATTATCTTTTACATTTGAAACTTATAAAGTTTCAAAGAATTTATTAGTTTTCTTAATGCTAAAGAATAGGGTTGGAGATAAAATAATAAATTGGCTTGAAAATATACTTTATATGTAAATTGGAACTGATTTTCTTTTCTGGAAATTTGTAACACTTGATACAAAAATTAGTCATATGATGAAATCCTCACTCAGGAATTAGAAGTTGCTCTGCTTCTGTAGCTTACATGATGCTTTTAACTTGTTCCTCTCCGCTTTAAGAGGGAAACAAACGGCAAAAACTTTCAGACAAAATGTAACATATCCATCTGTACTTTAAGTTATATTATATAGCTTTACCTGTTTAAGAAAAGGTTAAGTATATATATATAACTTGCTCTAAATCCACTAGCTGGACTTTTGCCAGCAAATAAAAGTAAATACAGAAATAAATAAGAAAATGGATCCACAAAATTCAGCATTATCAGTACAGTCCTTGCTACAATTTATGCTATTCATAATTCTTACAGATATAAATAAGCTTACATTAGCAAGTACAAGCTTAAAAAAACACATGGAGTAATAGAAAGTGCATTAGAATTTAAAAACCTCAAAACCAGGCTTTCCAGTCAAGATGGTGGTGTAGGTAAAGGTAGTACTCGCCGCCTCCCACAACTACATCAAAATCACAACTAAAATACAGAACAATCATCATTCAGAACCACCTAAAATCTAGCTGAACGGAAGTCCTACAATTAGGGAATTAAAGAAGAAGAACATGGATACTGGCTCATCCAAGCCATTTCCAGTGACTTTTCCATACAATTGGCTTCTTGCCTTATGCTTCAGACTCCTAAACTCTCTCAAACAAGCAGAAGCTGGCCTCAGTGTGCCTGATACCTCTCCATAACTAGCCCCAGGTCTGGCACTAGTGACAGCCCACTTTGGTTCATAGCTTGGCTTCTCCTGGGCACCTCCAAGCCCAACACATGCCCATCTACAGATTGCTGTGTAACTCATGCTGGGTGTCCCTGGGCAGGGCACAGGCAGAGGCTGACTTTGCACCTCCTGGGAGGTCCCAGAGACAGTGCACCCGGTGGTCAGCTTCAAGAACACCAGATTACAACCCTACTACATTCACAAGTGACACACTCAAGGGGTGGACTTCAAAGATCCACTGAAGCAAATCCTGCTCCATAGGGATGTCTCCAGCACAGCAATTCTTTGGCCATAGTCACAGCTGGTCCTCACAGCCGATTGGCTTGGGGGTCAATTCCTCCAAGTGGGTCTAACAGCTATCAAGGTTCAACTACAAGAGGACAGTGTACACAGCTCACACAGGGGAGCACCTAGAGTGCCCAGCTCAGGTGACTGGGGAGGCTGAGCCACTGGGCCTTACAGGACACCTACTACACAAGGCTACTCTACCAATTCCAGGAGATATAGCAGCTCTACCTAATACACAGAAACAAGCACAGGGAAGCAGCCAAATGCAGAGACAAAGAAACATCTCACAAATGAAAGAACAGAAGAAACTTCCAGAAAAAGAACTAAATGAAATGGAAGCAAGCAAACTACTAGATATGGAGGTCAAAAAAATGGTTCTAAGGATGCTCAAGGAACTTAGAGATCTTCAAGAGACTTAGTGAGAATTTCAAGAAAAAGGACCAGTGACAAATGAAGGATACACTAACTGAAATGAAGAACAATTTACAGGGAATCAACAGTAGTGTAGAGGATGCTGAGAATAAAATCAGCAATCTGGAATATGAGGAACCAAAAAACACCCAATCAGAAGAGCAAAAAGAAAAAAAGAATCCAAAAATATAAAGATAGCATCAAGTGTACCAACATGTGCACCATGGGGGTGCCAGAAGGAAAAGAGAGGGACAAAGGAATTGAAAACCAATTTAAAAAATGACAGAAAACTTCCTCTACTTGGTGGAAAAAAACAGAATTACAAGTCCAAGAAGCGCAGAGAGTCCCAAACAAGATGAACCCAAAGAGGCCCACACCAACACACATCATAATTAAAATGCCAAAGGTTAAAGACAAAGAGAGAGTCTTAAAAGCAGCAAGGGAAAAGCAGTTAGTTACCTATAAGGGAGCACCTGTATGACTGTCAGCTGATTTCTCTTTTTTTAAAAAAAAATATATTTTTATTGATTTCAGAGAGAGAGGAAGGGAGAGGGTGAGAGAGGTATTGATCGGCTACCTCTCCCCCCTCCCCTACTGGGGATCGAGCCCACACCCTGGGCATGTGCCTGACGGAACTGAACTGAGATCTCCTGGATCCCAGGTTAATGCTCAACCGCTGAGCCACGCCTGGCCTGGCTGTCAACTGATTTCTCAAAAGAAACTTTGCAGTCAGAAGGGAGTAGCGAGAAATATTCAAAGTGATGAAAAGCAAGGACCTGCAACCAAGTTTACTCTACCCAGCAAAGCTATGATTTAGAATTGAAGGTCAGATAAAGAGCTTTACAGACAAAAAAAAGCTAAAGGAGTTCATCACCACCAAACCAGTATTACATGAAATGTTGAAGGGTCTTCTTTAAGAAGAAGCTAATGAACAAAATAATCTGATAAAACTAATTAGGCCCAGAGACGCTGGAGCATGCAACAACAGACTGACAAACTGATATGCATATATGCATAACCCATGGACACAGACAATAGTGCAGTGAAGGCCTGGGGAAGGGAAGGGAGCAGGGTAGAGGGGGTCAATGGGGCAAATACTTTCAACAATAAAGAAATGAAAAAACAACCAACCAACCAAAACCACAATTATATATTTTCCCCCTTCAGGCCAACATCTAGCAACTCTCTCTAGGAGTACCAGAGACATTTAATAAATGTCTGTAGAATGAAGATAACGATGATGATGACAGCTAAGATTTACTGAGCATTTAACTTGTAACAGTACTGCTAAATATTTTATATTTAAGCCTGACAACAATTCTAAGAGCTAGGTACTATTACTAACCCCCATGTTAAGTATGAAAGAAAAGGGGCTGACCAATGTTCGGAAGTGGCAAAGCTGGGATTCAAACAAAGGCTGTCTCACCCCAAAGCTCTCAATTGTAGAAAAATATGTTATTCTTAAAGGCTAGGATTTAGAAAAGGCTTTGTTGTCAAAATTTTAAAATAAACATATTCAAATGAATTTGATTTATCTCAATATTGTAACCAAGTATACATTAAAACTGCAGGAAGCATTCCATCTTAAAAGAGCATCTGACTTTCATATCATTAAACTATTAGATTTTAAAATATTTTCCTAGGATATGTTGTAACTAAAATTATTTTAAATCACATGAGAATTTAATCTTCCCTACAAAAGAATAATCTAAAACTTTTTTATCGAAACACAAGTGATTCCTAAATAAAATAACACTCCTCCAAAAAACAAAAAAAGCCAAAGAACTTAAGTCAGAAAAGGTAAAGAAGTTATAACTGAGTCGTGACAGATTTTATTGAAATGATTTCAAAACTAGTGTGGTATAACAATATGTTTAGTACTTATACTTTAGATTTTGGAACAATCCACTTGTTAGTGGGAATACACTGATGGTTGCAAAGATCAAAACCAAATGTAAACTTACATCACTTGTTTGCCTGATGTCATACTTAAAAAAAATCCTACTATAATCATACCTTGGCAAAAAATACGGTGAGGTGAGTTTCACTGCCAACAATCCAAATAGGGAATTTTGGAGATTTCAAGTAAGAACCAACCTAGAACAAATGTAGCAAAATAAACAAACAAATGAAAATTTTATACTGCCTCTTAGATATCTGCCCATGAATATTTGAAAGATAACCAGAGTCCAATTCATATTTAAATAGAATAATGTATTGTGCCAGAATGCCTTACCCATGAACGTCAAATTCTGAATGTAAAATGAATGTAATAGACTATTGGGGCTAAGCTTATGTTTTGCCTTTACACAGAGCAACAATAATACAGATTTAACACAGACAGAAATAATTAATTTAGCCCTAAGCATCATTCTCAGGTTTTAATAAAGTTCCTAAATAGAACGGCGACTTCTAGAATTTCAGCTTGGTACCTTAAAACACTAAAACCATAAACTGGAATAGGGAAAACATTATAAATTAACAAATGAGATTTATGAATAAATAAGGGAAAAAGCCTTAAGCACATTCTGTCTTCAGAGAACCTAGGGTAATATAATAATCTCTCTAAAGAAAAATATGTATATACTCTAACACATTTAAGTATATAAAAGAATACTGCCATTTGACTCTTCATGGTAGGAGGTAAGTTCAAAGTTTTACAATGTATAGTCTCTTTAAAATGTATAAACAGTGCCCTGGCCAGTGTGGTTCAGTGGTTAGTGTCTGCCCACAGGTTCAATTCCTGGTCAAGGGCACATACCTGGGTTGCAGGTTCAGCCCCACCCCAGTCAGGGTTCATGCAGGAGGCAACCAATTAATTGATGTATTTCTCTCACATCTCTCTCTCTCTCTCTCCCCCACCTTCTACTCTCTCCAAAAAGCAATGGAAAAAATGTCCTCAAGTTTGAGGATTAAAAAAAATAAAAATGTATAAACAGTTACACCTACAGCCTGGCTTCAGGGTTACATAGTTAATCTCCAAAAACTAATAGTACCAAAAATTTGAAAGTATTATTATTTTAAAATGTATCTTTATTGATTTCAGAGAGAGGAAGGGAGAGGGGGAGAGAGAGAAACATCAATGACGAGCGAGTCATTGATAGGCTGCATCCTGCATGCCCCCCACTGGGGATAGAGCCCGAAACCCAGGCATGTGCCCTGACTGGGAATTAATTCGCGATCTCCTAGATCATAGTTTCATGCTCAACCGCTGAGCCATGCCAGCCAGGCTAAGGTATCATTTTTTATGTGTGACAGAGAAAAAGAAAGCTTAATATTCAACAAAAATTAGACTTGTAAAAACCAATCACATTCACATCAATCAATGTCACACTCTTATGAGGACAAAGATTTTAACTTAAAAACAACTAACCTTACCAACCAAATTTGCTGAATTTTCTTTTCTCACACAGATGTCCTAAAACTGGGAAATTCCAAGTGGCTACTTGCAGCAGTCAGGGGCAACTATTCTTCCTAATTAGCCAACAGCCCTGATATGATGCCTTGCTTTCAGCCATCACCAGGGACTTTTGAAATGCATTCCTCTCTCTAGTAGGGAAGTGAGAAATAGGCACTCTCTTATATTCAGGGAGAGAAAAGCGAATTTTCTCCTATGATGAAAGGGATATACATTGGATGTGCCACCGGCAATGGTGAGCCAGTAGAGCAAAGGGTGGTTTGGGGACAACAGAGAACAACAGCCAAAGGACAAAGAAAAAGGAAAAACTCTGATCACAGAAACAGAGTAGAAGGCATTTTAGAGGTGTGCAGTGTAAGTCCTTCAATTTTACATAAGGACACAAAGAAATACACAGGACCAGTGCCCTGTCGGAATACAAACAGCTAACTACTACAAGCTGGAATTAAAACTCAGGTATGCTGACTCCTAATGTGGTGGTTTTCCATTCCATCACCCTGCCTCTTGTAGTGAAAAGTTTAGAGGTTTAGTTTCTTTTTCAGAAAAAATGTGTACTCTGGCCAGTGTGGTTCAATTGGCTGAGCATCGTGCTGTATACCGAGGAGTCGAGGGTTCAGTTCCTGGTCAGGGCACATATGAGAGGCAAGCAATCGATGTTTCTATCTCACTCCCACTCCCTTCCTCTCTCTCTAGAATCAATAAAAAGCATATCCTTGAGTGAGAATTAAAAATAAAAAAAAAAGACAAAGTGTGTGCGTGTGCGTGTGTGCATACTTAATCACTGTAAAAGTAAAAAGTATGGGTAAGATTATACACAGTAGGATCAAAAGGCAAATAAAGGCTGAACTCATGAAGTGTTTTATAATAAAAATAAATAAAGAGTGAATAAATAATGCAACTACTTTGGAAAACAGTTTGACAGTTCCTCAGAAAGTTAAGTATATAATTACCATATGACCAGGCAATTTCATTCCTGGGTATATACTCAAGAGAAATGAAAACATGTTCACAGAAACTTATAAATGAATGTTCACTGCAGTATTATTCATAATAGCCCAAAAGTGGAAATATCCATTAACTGATAAATATATAAAAACTACTGAGTTATACACTTTAAAATGGTAAATTTTATGATATGTGAGTTAAATATCTGTTTTTTAAAAGGACACAGTCAAAAACACTGTGTCACCTTCTTTGTTCACATGTGTGTACATATATACACAGGGGTGGGGAGGAGAAAGAGAGAAATATTGTTTTATTTGTATTAATAAAACACATACGGTTAAATTGATATGAAAATGTTGACTTCATTTCTAAAGGGTAATTTGCTACACTACCAAATAGGCAAATGCTCAGATTCACAAAACTAATACAAACACAAGTATTTCCTTAATGCTCTTTCTCTAAGCATCTGGTACAAAGTAAATGTGTATAGATTTTGAGAATGATACCTACAGATACACACACACACACACACACACACACACACACACACACACACGAATAGCATAGTGTAATAAAGGGTTTTTTTAGATGCTGTCTTTACTCAGTTTTGAGGCCCTGCTCTTGAGGCCAGTTAGTTCCTTTATTTATTTAATTTTATTTTTTAAAAATATATCTTTATTGATTTCAGAGAGAGGAAAGGAGAGGGAGAGAAAGATAGAAACATCAATGATGAGAGAGTCATTGATTGAGCCCGCAACCCGGGCATGTGCCCTGACCGGGAATCAAACCCCGATCACCTGGATCCCAGGTCAAGGCTCAACCGCTGAGCCACGCCTGGCCAGGCTAGTCAGTTCCTTTAACAAAAACTGCTGAGTAAGTCCATACCCCAACCACTTTCCTTAGAGATCTCTCACACTCTAGACCACTATGCACAGCCCTAATGGCCCTGGAGCCAGGTACCACCTTGACTAAGTACAGCCCCTAAGCCCCAGAGCTCACAGAAACTATTCAAATTAGCCAGTCCACACTGAGCCCATGAAACCTAGCTAACTCTACTCCCAATTCCCATGCATAAGGTGCCCCCATGGATCCAGTTTGCTGTTGGCCTGTTCCCAGGTGTAACTCCCTGTGGCCCTGCCTGGAGGCCCTCTCTGGTTGGGAGCTGTCAGTAACTAACAGATCTGCCTTTCCTCTAACCAAGTGTCAGTGTGTTATGTTCCGCCACTAAAACAATCTTTCAATCTTATAAAACACCACAGTTGCTGCTAGAATATTAGAGAATAACAGGAGAACATACAGCAGCTGTTGACTTTCTACTAAGGTCCTGGGGGAAACAGACATTGCTCTGCTATACCTAACAGTTAAAGCAGACATTTAGGAAAGTCTACAGTTATAGTGAAATTTTCCACTCACTCATGCAACAAGTATCTATTGAGCACCTATTACGTGCCCAGAAACAATGTGCCTGCTAGCCTTCAAAGAGTCTATATTCCACTAGGGACGACAACAGAAAAACAAATTCAAAATTATTTAAAAAATAAGTAAACAAAAAAGATCATAACAGAGTATTCATTCCTATGAAATAATGTTGAAAAGAGTCACTGAGGGGATGGTCAAGGAAAGGGTCTTTGAGGCACCATTTGAAGTAGGACCTGAAGGGGAGAGTGGAATATTCCCAGCAGAAATGATAGCAAGTATGAAGGATGATCAGACAGGAAAGGGCTTGGCATGTTTAAGAAACGACAGGAGACCAGTGTGGCTGGAGCACGGCAATGGAGAGAGCAATGCAACTCTGGAAGGACAGACAGGATCCAGACCATCAGGGCCTTACAGGCCACCTGGTGAAAATGTCAAAGTAGATCATCTCCATACCCTGACCTCCTGCAACACGCACGCGCACACACACACACATACTTTTTACAAAACAGCTTTATTAAAATATCATTGACATATAAAAATTATATATATTTAAGGTATACAACTTAATGTTTTGATATCTGTATACACTGTGTAAAGATCACTATAGTCAAGCTAATTACCATATGCATCCCACCTCTATATGGTTACCACGTGGGGGGGGTGTGTGTGTGTGTGTGTGTGTGTGTGTGTGTGTGTGCGCGCGCACGCGCGCACACACATGTGCCAGGAGAAGATGCACGTGATTCTTTGGTTGCCAGGCTAACTCAGAATAGTCCTAGCTTACAGAATTAAAGTCACTAAAAAGAAGAGTTACTATGTTTAACATGACGATCACTACAATGAATAAAGGCTGGATGAAACCTACTTGACTTTCACACCCACGTCACCCCTGTCCAAGGACTGTCATGACAGGGATGCTGTCTGGTTAAAAAAAAAAAAAAAAAAAGGAAGATGGGCACAAGGCACTGCTACTGGTACTAAAACCAGTCACCACCGCCATGGGATCAACATTCTACATGGAAAAGAGCAATAGGTCTTCTTTCTTACGCCAAAATGAGGACATTTTAAGTGCAAATCATTAATGATTTAAACTCTATTTAAAACTATTTGGGACATCCAATAGTTACTTCAGAGTGTGTCGGAAAGCAATGAAATATATATCAAAAAATGAGGGTTTCTTGGCAGTTCCTAACCTTAGTACATGTGTTAAAGAGTTTAATGCTGTTAAATGCTTGGAATTCCTCTTTTTTAGTGTGAAATCATTTCTCAGAACAGACAGAAGTTAGAATTTCAGGCACTTAGCAGGTTCTCTTTTTTTGCCTGATAAAGTGCTACCAGTTGTTTCAGTGAAGCACACTATTAGCTGGTGAGGAAGAAACAGTCCATTATTTTCCCTCAGTTTACCAAAACCAAACTGATATCCAACAAAAGATTTCTCTATTTTCATAAATTATTTCCTACTGGGTTCTTCCTCCCGCTTTCAAAAACGAATAAATCTCAAAATTAGGAAACAGCCTGATCAGCCACTTAACTCTGCCCTTAATACACCTGTCAGTTTAGGAAGGGAGACCAGGAAGAATCTGAAGAGAGTGTATAACAACAGTAGTAAACTAAAATATGTTCTCATAGGAGAAATTACTATCCACAACAGTGAACATGCGAATAAAGACCACTCAGAATACCTTAAAAATCAACTTACCTTACAGTATCTTAAAGCTTCCATTAAAGTTAAGAATCCTACTGCTGCCTGTTCATGTATACCAAGAAGTTCTGCAAAAAAAGTTAGCATTGTATTAGTATACATAAATCTGAAAAGTACTTATCTGTAAATATATGTGTGTATATATATGTATATCTTCTATACCAAAACTTTTATTTTTACCCCAAACTTTACTTAAAACCGAGCACATATATATTGTTGAGTTCACATCAAGTCATCATTTTAGTACTACACACTGTAAATACCATTAGATCAGGTTTGTGACATTTCAGATGTACATTCAATATATTTATGAAACTATTCAGTGTTAACTTTTCTAATAGAGGCATTTCCCCCTGAAACTAAGGCATTATTGGCAAAAATAAAAGGAAAGATACTTAATCATATCCATGCAAAATGATTAACTTAAACTGACTTTCATTTAGAAAAGCAAATGGATAAGTCAATCATAGTTTGTAAAATTTATCATTGGGTAGCAGTGAACCTACCCGCACAAAACTTGAAACATGGACAGTTGATACCATCTCTCTCTCCTATAAATAAACCTACAAAGTGTGATAAAGACTGGAGAAGTAAAGATGAATAGTACTATCTGCCTTACAAGGCTGATAATTTATCAAGGGAGACAGATGAAAAAATGTGTGCTCTCTCTCGTTTACACAAATACAAATACATATACACACACACTCTTACACTGATATAAGAATATCTGCTAACTGTGTTACAGAAGTGGTAATATGTGAGATGAATCTTTAACCATATGTAGGAATTTCCCAGGCTAAGAGAGGATAAGAAAAAAATTCAAGGCAGAGGAAACATCAGAGAGACATGAAAATTCAGTGTATTTAAGGGGTAAAGAAATTGTCAAAGTGTCCTTAAAGGTTTCTAGCCTGAGGGATCTGATAAATGGTGATTAACTAAAAGAGAGAATTAAGGAGGATTAGGTGCCGGAGTGATATGAAGGGAGAGCATGAGTTTGGTTCTACATAAACTGGGACTGAGGAAGGCAGAGGAGTTCTACCTAGAGAGATACACAACTGGAAGGCAGGCTCAGGAACACAGGAAGAGGGGTCAGGGTGGGGCAGTGTTGGGAATCATCAGCACAGAGGTGAGGACTGAAGTCCTGGATACGGATCAGAAAAAACAGACAAAGCATAGGGAATGAGGAGATAAGAGATTTCACAACAGAGGTGTAACTGTGATGATATCAAAGTCTTCATCGCCTACAGCTTTCAGCTAATATACATTAAATAGAACTATGATAGCCCGGCCAGCATGGCTCAGCGGTTGAGCACCAACCTAGGATCCAGGAGATCTTGGTTCGATCCCGTCAGGGCACATGCCTGGGTTGTGGGCCCATCCCCAGCAGGGGGCATGCAGGAGGCAACCAATCAATGACTCTCATCATTGATGTTTCTCTCCCTCTCCCTTCCTCTCTCTGAAATCAATAAAAATATATTTTTTAAAAAATAGAACTCTGATAATAATTTGGGTCCATATGTATCTCTAATAAGCATTTTTTCTGGTTAAAAATTGTATCTTTCAACTATCTGGTCCTTTGTGCTTTTTCCTATTAGAAAATTACATTTTTCTTATCAATTAATGTGATAATATCAACTTGGTCATTTTTGTTTTAAATATATCCTTAAGTACAACATCCAGGTGGAATAAGCCAAAAACTGGTAGTTTAACCTTTAGGATTTGTAAATTCAAAATTAATAGAAGGCACCTATGCATATAGTTTGAATTTCTTCATTAACTTCCTATAGGCACAGAGGAGGTGTAGCAATAGTTCTCAAATTGTAGTTTTAGACTCTTCAGGGGCCACAAGACCCTTTGAGAAAACACATGAAATTAAAATAATTTTCATAAAAAACCACTAGTTGCCTTTTTTACTCTTACACTCTCATGAGTATGGAGTGAAACTTTCCAGAGACTAAATGATACGTTATATTCCAACAGGCTGAATCTATAAACAAATATGGGAATCCAGCTGTCCACTAATAACCTAGACATTAAAGAGACTTAAAAATTTTAAAGCAAAGTGCTTCTTCTTACTATTTTCTTTCTGCTTTGGAAAATAGTTATTTTTTTTATCAAAAATATTTACATTAACAAGTATTGGGTGTATTATTGTTATTTTAAAATGAATTAATACATCTTTTAAAATTTCTCAGTCTTGCCCAGCTGGGCGTGGCTCAGCGGTTGAGCATCGACCTAGGATCTAGGCGATCGAGGTTCGATTCCCGGTCAGGACACATGCCCGGGTTGTGGGTTCAACCAATGACTCTCTCATCATTAATGTTCCCATCTCTCTCTCTCTCTTCTTTCCTCTCTCTGAAATCAATAAAGATATATTTTTTAAAAAAATTCTCAGTCTTAATTTCTAACAAGAAAAATAATTATTATTTCCTTATGACCCACATTAGCAAAAGCTCTTTAGGATGCTTAGTAATTTTAAGAGTATAAAGGGCATGACACGAATGAATTTGAGAAGCATTGGATTATAGCATTCAAAGGAAAAAGATGGAGTGGAGGTGAGGAGCTCAAACAGGTAGAAATGGTACTGTACAGCCTTGCAAATTTTTCCCTCCTCACCTGAAATGTTAGCCTGCGCTAAATGTTCCGAGTTCAAAAAAGAATACATAAGTTAGAAACATTTTCACACTTTAATTTCTAAAATCAGTTACCACCACCTAGTGTTACAATTGGCTACTACATCATCTTTGTTCTTGGAATTTTAAGCAAATGTCTAGAATAGCATATTTATAATAATGTTATGATACTCAATAAAACAAAGTAGCTGTTCATAATTCTTGAGTAAAAAATTATTCATATTAGGTCACTAATCACATGCTTACGCATGGAGTCTAAACAGTATTATTTTTAAAATGTATTAATCCTGTCTCCTTAAACAGAATATATACTTAAAATATTTATCTACTTTTGATAGCTAAAGTGCATCATCAAGAATATTTATTATTACATAAAAAGATACTCAATGACACTAATCATCAGAGAGATTCAAATTAAAATCACTATTGATGATAGCCACACCTGTCGGAATGGCTATCATCAATAAATAACAAATAAGTGTAGGTAAGGATGTGGAGAAAAGGGAGCTCTTGTGCACTGCTGGTGGGAATGCAGATTGGTAGTCAGTGTGGAAAGCAGTATGGAGTTGTCTCAAAAAATTAAATGGAACTGCCTTATGACCCAGCAATTTCACTTTTGGGAATACATACAAAGAAACCTGAAACACTAATTCAAAGGAATATGCACCCCTAGGTTCACTGCAGCATTATTTACAATAGCCAAGATTTGGAAACAGCCCAAGTGCCCATCAGTAGATGAGTAGGTAGAAAAGCTGTGGTACATTTACACAACAGATACTACTTAGCCGTAAGAAAGAAGAAATCTTATCCTTTGTGACAGCATGGATGAGCCTGGAGAGTATTATGCTAAGTGAAATAAGCCAGTCAGAGAAAGACAAGTACCATATGATTTCATTTATATGTGGAATCTAATGAACAAAATAAACTAACAAACAAAACAGAAACAGACCCATAGATTCAGAGAACAGACTGAAAGCTGTCAGAGGGAAGGGGGAATGGCAGGTTGAATGAAAAAGGTGAAGGGATTAAGCAAAAATAAACAAAACACCAAAAAAAAACCCCTCATAGACACAGACAACAGTATGGTGATTACCAGAGGGAAAGGGGGTTGGGGGGAGGTAGAAGAGGGTATAAGGGGAATAAACAGAGATGGAAGGAGACATGACTTGGGGTGGTGAACACACAATACAATATACAGATGATATATTATAGAATTGTACACCTGAACCCCATATAATTTTATTAACCAATGTCACCCCAATAAACTCAATTTTTAAAAAAAGAATATTTATTATTGTACAAAGTTGCAATTAGAGTAAGGATATAATATTCTCACTTATTATAACTTAAAGAATTTACTTATGAGACTTCTCACTAAGTCTAAAGTAAGTTCATTTACATTTGCAGAAAATTCTAATAATTATGTCATTATATTTTATGATTTTTGTCTAATTGTTTTTCTTAGCCTAGCATTTAAGATTAATCGTTATTGGTCCTTATCGATCCTTATTTGCTTCAGTCCATGAGACTGTATATATATATGCAGAATTTTAAATTCCTGAGTTTGGTTTTTTTATAGGCTTCTCCTCCATTCTCAACTATCACTTCTCACTGCTGTCATAAGGTGTCTACAGAAGTTCCTTTTCAACCTTGATGCTGACTTGGAAACCAGGTAACTGCTTTAAATTTATTTAACACACCCTGAGTGCCAAGTATTAAAAAGAACAATGCTAAGCACAGTGGAGGAATATGGTGAAAAAGATGACAAGACTTTCTGAAAATCATGTATCTGATAAGGAGTTAATTTCCAAAGTATATAAGGAACTTTTACAATTCAGTTACAAAAAAACAAATAACCCAATTTAAAACTGGGCAAGAACTTAAATAGACTTTTCTCCAAAGAATATATAGACATTGCCAGCAGTATATGAAAAGATGTTGAACATCATCTTTGATTTTCAGAGAAATGAAAATCAAAACCCAATGAGGTATCACTTCACACCTGTTAGGATGGACATTATCAAAAATATACGAGACAAGTGTTGATGAGGATGTATAGAAATTGGAACCCTTGTAGACTGTTGGTAGGAATGTAAAATGGTACAGCTGCTATAGAAAACAGTATGGAGATTCCTCAAAAAATTAAAAATAGAACTACTATATGACACAGCAATTCCACTTTTGGGTATTTAATCCAAAGGAATTGAAATCAGGATCTCAAAGAGATACCTATACTCCCATGCTCATTGCAGCATTATCCATAGTAGCCAAGATGTTGAAACAACCTAAATGTCCAGTTACAAATGAATGGATAAAGAAATTGTAGCACACACATGATATGAAATATTGCTCAGGTTTACAAAAGAAGGAAATCCTACCATATGTGGCAACATGGATGAACCTTGAAGACATGCAAGTGAAACATGCAAGTCACA